GAACTGCGGAACTCTCCGCTGCAGCTCACACCAATGTGAAGGCGGGGCTCCCCGCTGCGCTCGGGCTCAATTGCTGGGATTTATAGTTCACCTACAATCAAAGAGCATTCTGAACCTCACCAAGGATGGAATTGAACCAAACGTATTTATTATTTATTTATTTGTAGTATTTATATTCCGGCCTTCTCACCCCGCAGGGGACTCAGGGCGGATTACAGTGTACACATATATGGCAAACATTCAATGCCAAATTTGATATACAACATATACAGACATACACAGAGGCTATTTAACTTTTCTGGCTGCCAGGGGAGCTGTCGCTCTCATCGTCCATCTGCGACGCTGAGGAAGTACTTCCGCATTCCCCGCATGCTTTTGCTGGAGTGCTTTGCTGGATTCTTTTTTATGGCCTCATAAATTAGTTAATTTAGCCTCCCCACGCAAGGTGGTACCTTATTTTCCTACTTGACAGATGCAACTGTCTTTTGGGTTGCAAAGGTCAAAAACAGGCTACACAATTGGTTGGAAACCCACTCCAACCCGGGCTGGCTTCGAACTCATGACCAGAGTGATCTTAATGCAGCTGACACTCAGCCAGCTGCATCACAATCCCGCCACATAGAACTCCCACGATCAACAGAAAATACTGGAAGGCCCCCAAGGGCTGGGCCTCCTCCCTCCCTCCCTCCCTGGGAGGGACCAGGGCCCTGGGAAGAACCAGGGAGCCTCCAGAGCCAAAAGTAGAGGTTGCCCCCAGCAAGAGCAGCTCCAGGCTGGTGGTTGTTTTCCTTTGAAAAGCTTCCATTCTTGCACAGGTTCCAACTCCGGAGGTGTTTACCTGGTTGCCATGGACAGTGGGGGCCCTGAAGGGCATGGCGTCAGTTGCCTTCCTGCGTGCCATTGTGTGCAGAGGGCTAGGCAGATCCAGCTGGGGCCGCCCCCACAGATGCCCCTCTGGCCCAGGCCCCTCCGTGTGCCCCCCCCTTGGGACGGCCCAGGTTACATGGCT